TTTTCCCTGAGAAGAAACGCTCATCGTCGTCTCATCGCTCTCGTTCCCCAGGCTAAAGCGCGTATCCAGGGCTTTTCAGAGGCTTTTCTCGCGGAAATCGTAATAAGAGACTTAAGAGGACGTTCAGGACGCATCTTCACGGTTTCACGATGGCTTCTTCAGCGAATTCGTTAACCGCTCGCGTCACCCGCCTCTCTCGCGAAAGGAAGGAAGGAACGCGCGCGCTTTTCACAGCTGGAAAACTGGTGAAAAGCGCCCCGCTTCTCGTTTTAATCCCGACGGAAATTTTTCTAATTACAAGCGTATTTTCTTAATTATACTTTATACTTTATACCTCCTCCCCCTTCGAACCTTGTGCCTCGCGAAATTTTTAAATTATGTATTTTAAATTTTCCAACCAAGGAAAAGCTCCATTCCGTTTTATCTAACCTGGATTTTTATTCGATATCTCTTTATCATATATCGTATTCTTTTCGCGCTTAATATAAAATTTTGATTTGATTGATATATTCGATCTCTTGGTGGATCTATGGATTTTATTTAAAAAAAAATGGGAGAGAATTAATTAATTGTTTAACCAATTTTCTCCAATTTTTTGCTCGTCATCTATCACTTTCTATTTATGGAACTAATTAGAATATTTTTCTAATTACAAGAATATTTTCTTAATTATATTTTATATTTTTCTTTTTTCCTCGAAGCTTTTGCTTCACGAATTTTTAAAATATATTTTAAATTCTATTTTATTTAATAATATTATTTTATTACTATTTATTAATTTTATTTTGTATTACTATTTAATAATTTTATTTTATTTAATAATATTAATATTTCGTTAATGATTTGATTTAGCTTTTAGTTTACGATCCATTTAAAATCTATCTTAGAGAATTCATGGATTAGAAAAAGAAGCATTGACCGATCAAGATTCGTCTTCTCTCTCTCGTCACAATTTTCCTCATCATCTATTTCTTCTATCTCTTTATGGAAATTTTTCTAATTACAAGTGTATTTCTATAATTATTTTATATTTCCCCCTCCCTCTTACTTTACCAATTTTTAAAAAATACATTTCAAAAATTTTCCGTCAAAGGAAAGTATCCATTCCATTTTATCTAATCTAAATTTTACTATTTTTATCTATTTGCAATATTCGTTTAATAATTCGATTCAATTGTACGTCCCATGTAAAATCTCTTGATGGATACCATTTTAAAAAAAAAAAAAAAAAAAAAAAGCATTAACCGTCGTTTAACCTTCCTTCCAATTTTCGTCATCTGTCCCTTTCCACTCATCGTTAGGAAGGAAACCAATTAGAACGAACGGTGATCTCGGTGTGTTTCCACGATGCCCCTCCTCCTCCTCCTTTTCCCCCACTCTCCCCCCTTCCGTGCAAATCGAGAAACACTTAAAAATCGAGAATCGATAAATATAATAGTTGCTCGACTCGACCTTCTTTCTTTCTTCCTTCTCCCGAGGAAATTGCTCGATACTTGTTTACAAACTGCAATTTATTTATTTATTTATTTATTTATTTTTTTTTTTTTTTCCTCTTCTTCGAACACGCGGAACACGGAAACACGCGATACAGCGCGTGAAACGGAACGCGAGTAATTGTCCCGGGGCCTACAAAGAAAGGCCGGTTCGTTACTGAAATTGCTTACTAATTAAGTGTAACGAAAAGA